TAAGCAGAGCCATGTTTGAGCTCACTGAAGATCAAGAGGAGCTCTAGCAGCTCCAACACACGCGTGGACGCTCACTGCCCAGTGCATTGCTCTCTGCTCAGTGTTGTGCTGACAGGAGTCTGGGAGTCCTTGGTGGCCTCACAGGTCACTGTCTTCTTCGTTAGCCACTGGTCCCCCTGGAGGGTCAGGGTGCTGCTCCAGCTGTAGAGGCCGTTGTCCTTCTGCAGAAGCCCGGGGCTCTGGCTAACCCCCGAGCTCCAGCTGCTCCCGTCCACCTTCCAGCTCAGCCTCCAGTCTGAGGGGAAGCCCTTATTGGCCAAACACACCAGTGTGGCCTTCCCCTGCTGCAGCTCCACGCTGGAGGGGGGCAGGACCGTGAGGGTGGGTGGGGCCAAACCTAGGACACACACAGTTTCATTTCCCTTATTTCTAACAGAGCACAACTGAGTTCAGTGATGCATTAAAAACCAAACTCTAATTACAACCTTAAACTCAACCGTTTCACACACAAACTCATATTTACAGTCACATTCATAGCTGCACTTCATTTACATTTTTATTAGAAAATATTACTGAATTTCACTCAGTAAAACTCTGACATTCTGCACATCCTGTGATGTGAAATTTGAAATGGAACATGATTTGATTTCCTCCAAAACAATAAATAATCAATAAATAAATGGAGCTGCAGTCTCCATGTACTATGGCTTCAAAGCTTTAGAACAGAAAACGCTGCTCAGAATAACCTCCACATTGTGGCTTCCAGATGGAGACAGAATTGCTCTAATGGAGCCCAACACTGACACTACAATCCAGCTCTACATTTGATCTTTTTAAAGAAACGTCATTACTGAACACTTCACAGGAAACCTTTAGGAAATATTAGTATTTTAAAGAAAAGAAATCCAGTTCAGAAACAGGAGCTCGTGGTAAAGCCTAAAGCTCCACGCTCGCCACACTTCAGCCAAGTTCTAATGAAATACATTCAAATTTGGATCAGAACTGATTTAGAAGAACATCAAGTACGTCTGGACTGTTGATCCATAATCATTTTAATAAAAGATTCCTTTTGAATAAGGAGTAAAAGTGTACTTACGTCCAACTGACAGTTTGGTTCCTCCACCAAAAGTCCACCACAGTGATACAAACTCGTTTACTGGCTGTACAAAAACCTCCTGCTCTAAACACGCCGCTCTCTTCAGCCTCTACACGCACTATTTCTGACCTATAATACAATATTAATGGATTCTACAATCATCTAATAATGGAATAAACTACACACTGTAGATCTACACACGTTCTGCCTTTTATTCCCAACAAGGATTATTTTATAAGCAGTAAAATATCTCAACTGAGGACACGCTTGTTTCTTCTTAACTTCCACAACAGACAAACTTAACTTTCTAAAAACTAAATATACACATTTAAAACTGTAAAAAATGTTAAAAAACTAACGTTCCTCTGAAAATATTAGAAAATGTTTCTTACAGTTTTCATTGTGTTTCCTCCACCAAAAAGTCCTCCAGCCCTGATACAGACAGACTGGGTGGCAGTCGTAGCTGCAGAAAACCTCAAATGAAAGGCAGAGACAGTCAGAACTGCACAATAAGAGATTGCCCTCTGCTGGACATTAAAGGGAATGTTTCACTTCTAATCTCTCTAGAATTAGACAAGCCTGGCTGAGCTGAAGTAGCTCCCAGCAATAGTCTCCACTACTGACCTCCACAAACCTCTGTGACCCCCTTATTTTTCCTCTCCACTTAATGCCTTAAGGATCATCTGGGGGAGTGAAATGTAATATAACGCTCCAATCATTCTGTCTTCTTTCAGAAAACTCTGGTGGGAATCAGAAGAGATTTCATTTTCCCACATCTCTATAAAAAGCTGCACTTTAAACATCAGATTCCACACTGAGCAGAAATGTCTGATCAAACAATATCAGATAAATATGATCATCTTTACTCAGTGTTGATAGAAAGATGATTTCCATAGAGGCTCCACTTTGCATTATCAGCCCATGCTTCAGTGCTCTGCTAGTGTTTATAGTCCTGTGAGTTTAACACTTCATGACTGAGAGCTGCTGCCCCACAAACTTCACCCACAGCAACCATGACTTTGGTCTCCATCTTCATCTGGACACTCACCCTCTGGACTCAAGGTAACTCACTCATTTACCTTTGACTTTCACTTGTATTTAAAGTGTACTTTTCTCACTCAAGGAACAATTATATTTGTGTCAGTGTATTTGAAGTGTATATATTGTCATTCATTCATATAAATTATTATATTTCAGGATCCAGTGGTCAGGTGACTGTGACTCAGACCCCTACAGTAACAGCTGTTTCTCCAGGAAACTCAGTCACCATCAACTGTAGAACCAGCACTGCAGTGTATGTTGCGAGTTCATATCACCTTCTACACTGGTATCAGCAGAAGCCTGGAGAAGCTCCTAAACTCCTGATCTACTTGGCTAACAGTAGAAAGTCAGGTGTTCCAGATCGTTTCAGTGGCAGTGGATCTGGATCTGACTTCACTCTGACCATCAGTAATGTCCAGACTGAAGATGCAGGAGATTATTACTGTCAGAGTTATCACAGTGGCTATGTGTTCCCACAGTGTTTAGTAGGTGTACAAAAAGCTCCCTCAGTCAGCTGCACAGAGACTGCACTGCTGCAGCTGGACTCTACTGCAGGTGCTGAGGGGGAGGATGGACACACACAATAACACACTCTGTGGAAATCAGGACTTTAGATGGAATTTGTTCTTCTTTTCATTAGACTGTAAATGCTTTGTGATTTTAGGGATTTATTTCCTGATCTCCACAGGTCTGGAACTAGCTGTAGAGTTCAGCTAGAGTCTCATTTATTATAAAGTTTATTATAAGGATCTGGACAGATTATGAAATGGATGTTTCTCTCAGTCCTGAGAAAGAGGGAGTCCCTGAAGAAATCCTTCAACAATCTCAGACTCAGCAGTTTTTATTAGGAGATCATATTCAGAGGTGAGCATAATAGTTTGTCTGTTTGGCCTAAAAATATATAATTTGTTAAAAGCAGTTTCTCTAATTTTATTCAACATGTGCACCACCATTAGCTTAGTGCTAACATTACATTACAAACACCGTAGATGTACTAATCACACAATCTAGAATTTTATCTTGATTTGATTAAAATTAATCTCATACACTCAACATTTGTTATCTACCGCAGATTACTTGTCCTGTTATTTATTTATTTATGACTGTGCTTTAACATTAATGTCCTGAACTGGAGGTCTAGCTCTAAAAGTCATGGATCACGACTGAGCTCTTTAGAAAAACTCAGAGCTCGATTAGATTTTAGATCTGATACTTTTTTACTCAAGTTGTTCTTTTACTTCTACTTCAGTCATTATTTCACTGAAGTATCAACACTTTTACTTGAGTCTGATTTTAAGCTGCTCTTTCACTCTCAACTCCTTTCACACTACACGACTCACACTGTTGTTCTGTGTTCCTACAGTGCAGAACTTCCCAAGAGTCTAACTGGATCTGATGAAAACAGTGGTCAGTAGCAGTTGGTGTGCTGTTAGACAGAGTGAGCCACCATGGAGTCTGATAGGCAGACTGACCAGCAGGGGGAGCCACAGCCCACCTCAGCCCCTCCCAGCAACCTCCTGGAGCTCCACCCTCCCACACTGATCAATAAAACTCCCACTACTGATCCTGGAGTGTGGAACTGGGAGGCGTGCAGGAACGCTGCTGTGGGTTTTCTCACTGGCCATGTTCCTGCTGCACCATTACTCTCTGTACACTGTGATAAAGAGCACAGGAGAATCAGCTGGAGCTTCATTCACCACTGCACTGATTACACTGTTTATACTCCCATTATTTCCCTCAGAACAAACACACCACATGGTCTTCTACAGGACCATCACATCATGATCCATTTCAGACTCCATAGGTCTATTAATCAACATCAGACTCTGAACTGAGTCTCTTTTACATCAGCTTAGGATACTAAACCACACAGCACTGTGACTCTGATACACTGACAGTTAGATCAGGATATCAGACTCACATCCTGGAGGCAGCAGCACTAAAGGAAGAGGTGAAACCAGACTAGTGATCTATTTCAGTTCATTATACTGGTTTTCTTGTGAGGTCAGTGAAAGCAGCTGTCCTCATAGTTTGGTATGACAAACAGTTCCAGTCAACAAGACAGAGGAATGTTTAGATGCTTTATTTGGTTGACGGTGATGCCAATACCAAGATCACCTCCAATTTCCCCAAAGAATTCTATGAGGGTTCATCCTCTAGGACAGGATTTTTCAACCCAGTTCCCTGATAGTACATATTTTGCTCTGATCAGTTCTCAACACACCTGAAGAAAGACATTAAAACTCAGAAAACCTGGTAAAAGTGCTCTATGAGTGACGGTAAAGCAAAAATATCTAGTCACACAGTAATTTATCACTGTAACAGTGAAACATGGCTGGTGCCCATGGAGCCCACAAGGCATAACTATAAACTGGTAAATCCCCTATAATATAAAAACATGGTCAGTCTCAGCTGCAGTCCCCTTTACTCAGGTCTGTGTCCATCTCTCTTAAACTAGACCTTTATCTAAAACGCTGTTTGGTGTAGTGGGGGTTTATTTTAATTTACTAGCAATTCATACACATCCTGAAGAATATAGATACAACATTTATATGTGGAAATAGCTGCATTCAAGTATTTTCCATGGTTTTAGCCAAAGCAGTTCTAAGAATGCTTCAGGATAACATTCATGACAGAAAGTATGATCACAATTTCCTAAAATGTTTCTGTTTTGCTGACGTGCTGTTTTCAGTATCTTTGTTGTAAAGTCTTACCAGACTCAGCTGCAGCTTTGGTAAACTTGGTTTTGACAATTTTTGATGGTTTGATCTTTCTGGCTTTTTCCTTTTATGTTTCATTCTGAAATATTGACCCACAGTGGTGGTCAGTTCCAGTCTTGGAGACTGAACACTCCACATATTACTGTATTCTTACTCTAACACACCTGACTCAACTGATGCAGAGCTTAATAATTCCATGATGAGTTGAAGGAGGTTTGATACACTATGACGACAACACACCCACAGATATCAGCAGCACTAAAGTATGAAGTGAAACCAGCCCCCCACAGCCCACCCAGCTGAACACAAGCAAGCAGTTTTAAGCAGTAAACAGTCAGACAGAGAGAGAGAGAGCAGTGGGGTGAAACTCAGATTTGCATGAACAGGCCTGAGTCGTCCTCTTTCTCCCAGAATAGAGCAGCACTTTCACCAGATGTTCAGCTTAATTCAGCCAAACTCCCTCAAGATCAACACACAGCACTGCACTGAATCTACAGCTGAACTCCCTCTCTAACAACACTGACCATCACCATTCATTACAGTAAAGAACTCAGACTAAACTCAAAAGAACTGGAAACTCTGCAGCAGCACTAATGCATTCTAGCACTGGAGAACATTTACTAGTTCCTCTTTACACAGTGGAACAACTAGAACTTTCCTAACTCATAATCTAACTAACATCAGATGAAGTGTCATAAAAACAGTTCAAACCTCTCATTAAAACCTGTGAATGTCTTCATACAGGAGAATCTCACTGACCTCAGACAAGCTGATCATCATGATCTGTAACTGATAATGAGGTGATTAAATGAATCTCCTGTTTAAATAGAATAAAAGTCTCTTTTCACAGTGAGTTTGGTTCCTCCACTGAAAGTGAACCACAGTGATACATTTCAGTGAAGTCATTGTACATAAACCTCCATCACTCATCACTGTTTACCCTGAACTCTTCTACACTCATCAACTATTTATGACCTTTAGAAATGAACGTCTGACACTGAATTAACAGAACTGAGCTAATACTTTATAATCATATCTAAATATTCATATGTGTTTATTATAGAGGTGTTTGGTGAGTCCATTTCCATAGAGGCTCCACTTTGCATTATCAGCCCATGCTTCAGTGCTCTGCTAGTGTTTATAGTCCTGTGAGTTTAACACTTCATGACTGAGAGCTGCTGCCCCACAAACTTCACCCACAGCAACCATGACTTTGGTCTCCATCTTCATATGGACACTGACCCTCTGGACTCAAGGTAATTCAAATATTTAACTTTGTGAGGAACTACCAGCATTAAATATGAATATTACTCAACTTTAGAGCATATCTATCAGTCTATCTGTTATATTTTCTATCTAAACTATGTTTTAATTTATTTGTTTTTTCAGGATCCAGTGGTCAGGTGACTGTGACTCAGACTCCTGAAGTGAAAACTGTTTCTCCAGGAGACTCAGTTACCATCAGCTGTAGAACCAGCACCTCACCATCTGCCTGTTCACCTCCCTGTATTTTCTGGTATCATCAGAAACTTGGAGAAGCTCCTAAACTCCTGATTAAAAATGTAAATCAATTAGTGTCAGGTGTTCCAGCTCGTTTCAGTGGCAGTGGATCTGGATCTGACTTCACTCTGACCATCAGTAATGTCCAGACTGAAGATGCAGGAGATTATTACTGTCAGAGTTACCATTGGATCAGTAGCAGAAACGTGTTCCCACAGTGTTTAGTAGGTGTACAAAAAGCTCCCTCAGTCAGCTGCACAGAGACTGCACTGCTGCAGCTGGACTCTACTGCAGGTGCTGAGGGGGAGGATGGACACACACAATAACACACTCTGTGGAAATCAGGACTTTAGATGGAATTTGTTCTTCTTTTCATTAGACTGTAAATGCTTTGTGATTTTAGGGATTTATTTCCTGATCTCCACAGGTCTGGAACTAGCTGTAGAGTTCAGCTAGAGTCTCATTTATTATAAAGTTTATTATAAGGATCTGGACAGATTATGAAATGGATGTTTCTCTCAGTCCTGAGAAAGAGGGAGTCCCTGAAGAAATCCTTCAACAAACTCAGACTCATCAGTTTTATTAGGAGATCATATTCAGAGGTGAGTAGACTGTAAACAATAGTTTGTATTTTCAACCTAACAAAATACTGTTATATGAATTATACATATTTATTTGAGTAAAACCAGTTCTTTTTTTCTTTTTACCTCATGAAAACATGCTGGCTCCTCCAGTAATATTCAGAGAAAAAGTTCGTTCAGATCTTTAAGTCACTGTAAAACTGACATGTGGATAGTAAAAATATGTAAACAGAATGTCTGTCATAAGCTTTGAATATCTGTGTTTAAGTTAGAGCTGCTTAAAAATCTTTATGTGCACCGCCCCTTACAAGCCCCTTAGATGTGCTAATCTCACAATCTAGGATTTTCATATAATTTGATTCATATCAATCTCATACACCCATTATTTCACATCTACTTAGATTATTGGTCCTGTTATTTATTTACTTGTAACTAAGATTTGACATTAATGACCTAAACTGGAGGTCTCGCTCTCAAAGCCACAGTTCACGACTGAGTTCTATAGAGAAACTCAGAGCTCCAGTAGATTTTAGATCTGATACTTTTTTACTCAAGTTGTTCTTTTACTTCTCCTTCAGTCATGATTTCACTGAAGTATCAACACTTTTTTACTTGAGTCTGATTTTAAGCTGCTCTTTCACTCTCAACTCCTTTCACACTACACGACTCACACTGTTGGTCTGTGTTCCTACAGTGCAGAACTTCCCAAGAGTCTAACTGCATCTGATGAAAACAGTGATCACTAGCAATTCCATTCCATGTTTTCCTTTTTTCTGGTTCAGTTTCATGTTTTTTATTTTTGTTTTCCAAGCAAGGTGGAGTTGGAACCAGGTGCTGCCGATGTCCACAATGCCAGCTTGGACTCTAGGCCTGAGAATAACAGCTCTGTTTGCAGTGTGCCCTGGAGCTCCCTGTCTTCTAGCACCTTGCAATTTAATAATTTTAAAAAAGTGATGTCTAATCCACATGTAGTCTCTATTTTATGTTCCCCCTGCCATGAGATGGGTGAGTTTAACAATTAGAGGTAGTAACTGATCCCAGTGATTTTGTGTACAAGGAGAACTTAAGTGGACCTAAAGATGCCCCTTGGGGAACTCCAGTAGTGAGGCTGTCAGGAGCCCAGACATACCCTTTCCAGGCCAGGTCAGGATGAAAACTGAGGGCAAAGAATTAGAAGTGTCTGTTTGTTCTACATTTGGGTTGTTGTTACCAATAAATGCTTGGTTGATTTGGGTACACTGACAGTTAGTGGAAGCACTAAAGCAAGAAGTGAAACCAGCCCCCCACAGCCCACCCAGCTGAACACAAACAAGCGGTTTTAAGCAGTAAACAGTCAGACAGAGAGAGAGAGAGCAGTGGGGTGAAACTCAGATTTGCATGAACAGGCCTGAGTCGTCCTCTTTCTCCCAGAATAGAGCAGCACTTTCACCAGATGTTCAGCTTCATTCAGCCAAACTCCCTCAAGATCAACACACAGCACTGCACTGAATCTACAGCTGAACTCCCTCTCTAACAACACTGACCATCACCATTCATTACAGTAAAGAACTCACAATGTCCAGAATGAAGCTTTATTTCAGCTCAGCAAAAGCACAGCTACAGCAACAGGACACTGAACAGAGTACAGACAGAAATATCAGCACTGTGTAGAGTTTAAACTCTATTGGAGCTGCATGTGAAAGCAGCTCTATGGTCAGCTCTATCTTGGAGCTGCTAGCCTTCACAGTGGCTCTTTAGGAACGAGGCTCGCTGGTCCGCGTTGTCGTGAGAGACCGTACAGACAAACTCCTCCCCCTTTTCCCAGAGTGCTTTGCTGAGGGTCAGGGTGCTGCTTCGGCTGTAGCGGCCGTTCTTCTCTTCTTCTATGCTGGTCAGAACCCCCTCCTTCACCTCTGATTTGTCCACTGTCCAGCTCACCTGCGCCCCCTGTGGAGAGTAGCCAGACAGCAGGCAGAGCAGCGAGGCGGATCCCTCAGACAACTGCAGAGAGGACGGGGGGAGCAGAGACACGGAGGGCTTCACCGAGGGACCGGCTGGAGAGGAAACACACACACACACACACACAGTATTAAACACACACACACAGCATTAAACACACACACACACACAGCATTAAACACACACACACACACACAGCATTAAACACACACACACACACAGCATTAAACACACACACACACACAGCATTAAACACACACAGCATTAAACACACACACACACACACACACACACACACACACACACAGCATTAAACACACACACAAACACACACAAACACGCACACACACACACACACAGCATTAAACACACACACACACACACACACACACACACACACACACACACACACACAGCATTAAACACACACACACACACACACACACACACACACAGCATTAAACACACACACACACACACACACACACACAGCATTAAACACACACTCTGCACATTCAGCTCCAGTTCATTCAGTTTTATCTGTATTGAGCTTTTTCCAATAGACATCGTCACAAAGCAGCTTTACAAACACAGCACCACACCATGTAGACAGGGAGGGTGGGGGGCATATAAGGCTTCACTGTGGGACCCCCAAGCTCCAGTACACTGAGATTAAACTCCACTAACTATCAAAGACACATTTGTACAGTAATAATTGTGAGTCACAGCGTAATCAGACTGCACTGTGATTTAGTGACTCCCAGTTCTATTCAGTAACTGCATCCAATAGTCAAACTGTATTAACACTGAAACGCTCAGTGAGTGAATTCTGTAAATGCTCTGAACTCCAACACACACACAACTGGACACTCTGCAGCAGCACTAATGCATTCTAGCACTGGAGAACATTTACTAGTTCCTCTTTACACAGTGGAACAACTAGAACTTTCCTAACTCATAATCTAACTAACATCAGATGAAGTGTCATAAAAACAGTTCAAACCTCTCATTAAAACCTGTGAATGTCTTCATACAGGAGAAACTCACTGACCTCAGACAAGCTGACCATAATTTTATATATAACACAATAACCTGTTATGTTTTGCCTACAAGCACTTTATCATTAATACTTCTTTCTAGAAAATGACTATATTTGTTGTGTGTTTTTAAATTTTCTTTGACAGTAGTGTAGCTGTGTATTTGCTCAAATTCAGTTCAGATCAAGTGCGACACTAAAACTAATAAACTTATTAACATTGTTCATTTGTGACTTTTTTCTTTATCATAGTTGCATTCAGTGTAACTTATTATCAGAATAATTATTTCAATATTTGGAGCTTTAGAAGAAGAAAAGTTACTTACTTTTCAGAATGAGTTTAGTTCCTCCACCGAACGTGAACCACAGTGATACATTTCAATGAAGTCGCCGTACAAAAACCTCTGATACACTACAGTGACCACACACACACACACACACACACACACACACACACACACACACACACTCAACCTTCAGTCTCACATTTCAAATATATGTTTTTCAGAGCCTATTAAATATCTGTCCTTAAAACTTAAACTTTTCTTATAACAGTCTAATAATATAAAATAGATTTTCTTCGTCATTGTATGAGTTCAGACAGGATGTGTTATTATTGATTTCCATAGAGGCTCCACTTTGCATTATCAGCCCATGCTTCAGTGCTCTGCTAGTGTTTATAGTCCTGTGAGTTTAACACTTCATGACTGAGAGCTGCTGCCCCACAAACTTCACCCACAGCAACCATGACTTTGGTCTCCATCTTCATCTGGACACTGACCCTCTGGACTCAAGGTAACTCACTCATTTATCTCTGTGGTGTCAGTGTGTTTTTTCAAAGTGTACAAATATTTCTGTGGGAATTTGGATCGATTAACTGTAATAAATGAACATTTTCTTCACTCCTTTATTTCAGGATCCAGTGGTCAGGTGACTGTGACTCAGACTCCTGTAATTTATTCACGTCCTAAAGAA